CCCCAGTGCCCCCCCAGCTGGCTCGCTCAGCCGGGTGCCCTTTACGCAGGGGACCTGACCCCCCTCCCCAGGCGCTGCGGCGGTGGTCGTTCTGCACCTCCGTCTCCCATCACCCTCGAGTTAACCACGCAGGTGGCTCCGAGCGGGGTGCGTGCAGAACGCATCTGTAGCCTTGGTATGAGATTGGCATCCATCTTGTCCTCGTGTGGCACCTGGCCATGTCCAGGCACGGGAGCACCTCCGTGCCAGCGGAGAGGTGGGAGTAGCTGCTCCCTGTGTCCCTCGCGTGGCGCTCGCTCCGGGGGAGCTTGCGGGTGCATGGGGGATCAGGAGTTGGGGCCCTGCATTGCTCATCCCCAGGGCTGGTCCTGCTCTTCAGAGGTGGCATGAATTGTGGACCATCGCAAACTGCTCTGGTGGTGGGAGGAAAGCTCATGTGGCCGCTTGACTGCTAACATGAACCAGCGTGTGTCCCTACAACTGCAGTCATATCTGTCTCTACTGATGGGTTTTTCCTCTCTTTTTTTCATTCTGAGAGGAACTCCCAGTTGATGAGAGACACGGCCCACGGTTTGGTGGAGAATTAGGTCACTGGGAGTTGGGAGTCATGTACAAGTCTGTGGGTCACTCTGGTGCTCCTAGGGTTTTATACTTGAAGTAAGGGGTTGGGAGGAAGCAGGTCTTGAAGTCGCTGAGAAGTAGGAAATAAATACGGTTGCACTAGTGATGGCGATTGCAGCCCTGGGGAGGGCATCACTGAGCATGTGGTGCTAATCCAGCAGGGAGATATGGAGCGAATTCCCATTGGGAATTGGATCAGCCTTCGATCCCGTGACAGGCAGGATGCGTCTGGCACACGCTCGTTGGCGGCAAGCAAAGCAGCCGTTTGCAGGGAAAGCTTTGGCTTTGCACGTTCTCAGTTTTGTTACCATATTTAACGGGCCCGTAATGCCTGTGCCGAACACTAATATTGCCGCTTCCCGAGCATGCACGGAGACGGTGACATAAGCATGCACATCCATCCCTGCCCTGCTGTCACCCAAAGTTTCCTGCTGTTACTAACCTGCCTTTGGCTTGGTCTGCCGGTGGCCTCAGGGGTCCTCGCGAGACGGCTGGGGGCTGCTGCCTCCCCTCGTGTCGCAGCGGTTAGGCCTGTGCTGAGTGAGGTTATTTGAGACAGCGCTAAAAACCCCTGCAGCAGCTGGAAAGCCGTTTCTGCTGTTTCCCCACTGCTAGTACAGATCTGGCGCCGGTGGTGTTAGCAATACAGGAAGCTGCTTTAAATGGAGAGCCCCCTGCTCTTCTCTGCCCCATCAGCTGTGGAGCGTCCGGGTCCTTCACCTGCCTCTGGGCTTCCCCTGACTTTGCTGAAAAAAGGAGACCAGTGAGGAAAGGTGATTAGAAGCACCCTCCACTCAGCCCCGGGGGGCTAATGCCTCCTTTGATGGCTCTGCACGGCTTGCTGAAAAGTGAAGATGTGGCTGCTGCAGCCCTCTGGGGAGATGTTTGCTGTGGAGACAAATCTGCAGATCCTAGAGGACCTCAGGGAGGATTCGGCCCTGCTTGCCCTCAGCGTGGGGTTCCCCAGCTGTTTGCCTGCAGAGAACATGCTCAGAAGCACTGGTTGAAGGATGGAGGTAGCCCCCAAAGGTGCTGGCGCACCCTGGGGCTGTCCTCAGCAGGTTGCTGGCCATGCATGCGAGTGCAAAGCAGATGGATGCCTGCCGCTGGGTTTACCTTGCATGTCCCTATTGTTTCCGTCCACCTACGCCGTGCCGTTGCCATAGCTACTCTGCAATTTGATCTGCCCAACTTCTTTCCTGGTCTTTCTGCCCCCCCCACCACCCCGCCCCCCCCGCTGGGAGAGGGCAGAGGATGAGCGAGGCCATGGCACCTGGCCCTGTGCGGGGCAGAGCGTGGTGCTGGGTAGCAGAAGGTCGTGCCTAATGAATGTGGGCAGGGGACAGCGTTCGACCCTAACAGGAGGTGATTTTTAATGCCCTGCCCCATGATTCCTTGTGCGGACTGTTCAAACTGTCTTACTGTACAGCCCTGTACATAATATGTTTTTGAGCAGGCTGGGGATGTGCAAAGCACTGAGATAGGACCCCAGAGGGATCACCAGGCTTGGATGTGGAGGCTGCAGAAGGGAGGCTTTAAAGTCCAAGCAGGGCAATTGCATGGCTTGTTCTCAGCAGCACGTTTGTCCTGATGCTTCACTACTTGGGGATGTATTTCTGTAAATAAAGTCATTGCTTAGTATTGACCTCATGAAAGAAGGGAGGCTTGAGTGTGACAGGCTTGTATTCACTATGTGCATTTCAGGAGCACAAATCCACTGATGTCCAAGGGCATTTGTGCTCTAACATCTTCTGGGCTTTTTGGAAAAACTGCCTTGGAGGTCAAGGCTGTAATTGCTGTTGGAGAGCTGACAAACCTGCAGCAAGAGCTGCCTGGGGAGAAGGCTGGCGAGTGGGGAGCTTAAGGGATGGTGCATGCTGTCAGACCTGTCTGTTCCTCTCTGTCCTGGCTCATCCTAGGAGCAGAGAGGCTCTGCTGGGCATGCAGGTGGCTATGGCTCATAAAGGGTGTTTCTTGTTTTCTGATTTGGCGCAGCAGAAACTTGTGCAACCTTTGAACAAGTGCATCCTGATCAGATCAGGGCTTGAGCCAGGAGTTTGGTGATGCCTGCTGCTGGGTTATAGAGCCTGTCACACCTGAGTTCCTGTGCAACCTCCTCCTATTAAGTCTCTAACAAGATCCTCAACAGAGATCCATCTTTGGGATGGGAACTGGAGAGAGAGGTAGTAAAACAAGTCCCTGCCTCAAAATGCCTCCCTCTGAAAAGAGGAGAGGTAAAGCAAGCATCTTTATGCCACTTTTGAGCTAGGGGTCTGGTGCATGGAGAGGTTGTGACTAACGAAGGCCTCTTAGAAATCTAGACCTAATGGGAACTAGACCCAGCCCCAGCACTCCTGAATCCCAGATGTGGGTCTCAAAACTGACTGTTCTCCTGTGTGGTGCTGTGCTTGCACTTGAGAGGTCCTTTTGCAACAATTACAAGACCTTAAATGACAGTGTCTGCAACATACGATGTCTGTGTCTCTTCCCTGTGTCTGGTTACTGTTTGCATTTGACTCCAACTTGTCATTTTGCTATTTCTACTTAAATTTGGTTTCTCTTTTGCTGGAAAACCTTAAAATGTAAGGAGAAACAGATTAAATCTACTTTACTGCTATTTTTCAAGGAGATTTTTGTTTGTCAAGGCATTGTGCCTGAGGGGGACTCTGTCAAACTGGGACTTCTGAAAATGAGGTGATTAAAAAGCAAATGAAACTGCTGCTGCCCCTCCCTTCAGTGGAGCGTGCTGGGGATGCTGCTGCTGTCCATTTTAGAGGGACACATTTGGTCCTGTCTTGTTAATCACTAACAGATTTGTGTTATAATTGCTAACCAGGGGAAGTCTGCCTCGGTCAATGCAGTGACTCACTTGGATTTCATTTACCTCCTGGTCTTCTCCTGGGACAATCACAAAAGACTGTATTTTCTTAACTTCAAAATGTTCTTAGCTAAATTTCCCCAGCTCTGGTTTTCCTCTCTTCTGCAGTGTGCATGTATGTACATGACGGCGCATCTTCATGCGCACTTGTGTGTGCATGTGTTCATATATGCTATGGCCTCACATGTGCATCTAAACACACTTGTGTGCTTGCATGTTGCAGTTCATATCTGAGTACATGCCAATGCACACATGTGCACATGTATGGATGTGTGCATGCCTGTGTACATGCCTGTGCCTTGGGAGGGCCCCGAGTCCTAGTTAGTCCATCTTGCAGCATCCTGGACATGACTTTCATTGTAATTATCTCAGCCTTTGCAGTTCTTACCTTCTGCGCTGCTTTGCCTGCAAGTGAGCTGCCTGTTTTATCAGTTGTAACAGGGCTGTCTTTTCAAATCCTCTCTCAGACCATTATCTCCCTTTGATGCTTTTGAAGAGCCAGAGATATGTTAATTCTGCCTTGGCCCTCTCTTCTTCCCTTTCCCTCTTCTTGCAAATCCACCCTTGTCATCCTGGCTAGCTGCAATGTTTGCATTTTCATGCACTGCCCTGGTGGGTGGCAAGGGGAACTGGGTTTTCCCTGCTCTTTCCCACTGGGTTTGGTGAAGCTGGTGCTAGGAGATCCCTCCCAGGAGTTGGCTGCCTTCCTAGGTAAGACAGTGGCTACTTGTTTGTGCCCTTCTCCCTGTCACCAGCTTCTCCTTAGTTATAGTGTGTGCCCAGAGCAGACCCCGGTCAAGGGGATTTGTGCAGTGGAGACGCATGGTCTTTGCCTTGGGAAAGTCCAAGTGGGTAGAAAATGACCTAATGGCAGGATGGGCTAGGCCAAGTGCTGGCCCACTGTGTGCAGCTCTGAAATGTGCTTTACACCCTGCAGAGCTTGGTGCCTCAGAAATGCTGAGGACAGATGGAGCCCCCGAAAGGCCTGCGTGGTAACATCGACAACGCGCCTACTTGGCCCTGGTGGAAAGCACCAGATTGCCAACCCTGTATGGTCCTGTCTCTCTGCAGGGTGTGTATTCTGGGCAGCACTTCCCCTCTCGGCTGTCCAACACGTCGTCCTGTCGTGTTGCATCAGCTCTGTTGCAGGGGAGAGCTTTGCTCACAAACCCCCAGGTCTCCTCCCTGGGGCTGCCAGCGAAGGTGCCATCCCCTCCCTGGGCTCCAGGATGACCCTCCAGACTCACTCTGCATGGACAGCAGCACACCCAGGCTTTTAGCTCACTGCTGAGTTGGATTTGGAACAGAACTGAGAATTGGACCTTTGTTTAAAGTCTTTGGCACCCTCCTTTAGCCTTTCATTGCTCTTTTCTTCCTGTGTCCAGCCCGCTTTCTTTCCCTCTCAGCTCCCATCTGTTGTGAGAGGGAAGATGGGGGTTGGACCCCACAACCAGTATCAAATTGGTCCCAAGACACCTGTTTCCAATTCCAGGGGCTCTGTTCCCTCCATGCTGAGGTAAATCGACCCTACTGTAAAGATGCTTCTTCTGGGGCTTGATCCAGGGAGCTGGGAGGGATCCCAAAGCAAGGGGCTGCTGTCAGCACAGGCAGAGGATGGGTGCTGTGCTGTCCTGGCATCTGCTCTGGGTCATCCTATCCGGACCAAATCACTTCCAGAATATTCTTGACTCTCTCCCATGGCATCTGGGATTCAGACAAGCTCATTGTTGGTTTAATGTGGAGTGACTGTCTATGGTGGGGATGTAATTTATAGACTTTGATAAGCCTGTCCAGTCATCCTAAAATAATAAATATACACCAAGGACTGGTGCAAGATAGGATCAGTAATAACAGGGCCTGAGGAAAATTACTGAGACTCTTCAGCAGTAAAATAAGAGTATGGAAGAAAAACCTTTGAAGAAAGTCATTAGCATCACCCCTGGGCCCTTCAGGCTCAGGACTGTCCTGGGACTGAAGGATTTGGCCTCCAGGCACCTGCCCCATAACCATCTTCCCAGCAGTGCTTGGACTATTTGGCTGCAATGGCCAATACAATCCCATTGTGGAGACCAATTGCAGCCATTCAAAGCACAAAAGAGTTGAGTAATAGGGGTATGAAGGATCCCCTCTGTGCTAAGCCAACATAGTCAAGCCTCCAGGGACTTACCAGGCCCAGGGATCATGCATGCTTCCTTCCCTGGGGTGAGGACTGTCTCGCCCCTATTTTTGCTTGTGTTTGGGGTCCAGGCTGTGAGTGTGGTCCAGAGTAATCCTGGTGAGATC